CAATCTTGAGGTAACAGGGTGAGACACTGAATGCCACAAAACCTAGGTGCCAGTTTTATGGTGCCAAAATGTTTCACAAAGATGCTAGTGTGCAGACATCATCCCTTCTGCCATGGTGTTCAGTTTTGACGGGGCTGTGTGATTCATTAGCACATGTAGTAATTGGGAAGCCCAGACAGCTCACAGTTGTCGGTTGCTTATACAAAGTGGTTTAGTCATTTTAGGAGAATCTCAAATTTCAGAGATTTTATTTTTAACAGGGACCATACTGTAGCAAAAACATGGTTACTACTGCTGAAGCTTCAGATCAGATTTACTGAGTTTCTCCATAAAAATGAGATGTTTCCATATACAGACTCACAAACATATACAGACTCCTGTGTGTAAGCTTTCCTCTCCTGGACATGAACATTTCACTCTTAAGTTTGCTGCCTCTGTTCTAAGGAAATTTTGTGTTGGGCCATCGTGAGCCAAACCCTGTGAGAAGTCCCACAAAGACTATTGTTGTTCCCCGTAGATCTCTCTATCAATCAGGCTTCTAATGAGTACAGATGCTATTCTTCAGTGTACTAGAGATCTATACTTCTAAGTATTTTTTAAAAGCTCTGTTTGCAAAAAAGACATTTTCATTCATCTACATGACAGGTTAGGGGAGGGAGAAATTCCTCTTGCAAAATTTTTCTTCCTTTCATCTGTTTTACTTGTCTAAAACATTCCTACACCCTTCCTTAATGCTTACCAGTTAACACTAACTATTCAGAGAAACATGAAACTTCTTAAAATCACTTCTTAGTGTTCACTATGAACTATAGCTCAGATTAAGATTGGGATTTGAGTAGTAATTAATTAAATGTCTTAGCCAGCAATGGAATCATTTGAGAGTTCAAAGACAGCCATTTAACTTCTACATTTATCAGAAAAAGATGCTTTTAAATTTACTTAAAAGACATCTCAGAATCCTGAAGTAGTTTAAGTCCAAGCTTTGTACTGATATGTAAATGCAGTATGAAAAGGAACAGTCTCTAAGAAATGTAAATTGTTCAGCATTTGAAAAAATAAAACAAAACCAAACCCCAACAAACTCCTGAATGTTGTAAAGCTGTTGTGTCTGATCCAAAGTCTGATGGAAAGAAGCACCTGAGTGCTCTAGTTTGCATACTTAATAGGTAAAGAGCTAACAAAATCGTAAGCAAACAAAACTTCATCCTCTGCTGAAAGCTGTTTTCATATTTATATCCAATGGTGCTAATTCTTAACACCATTAAAAATCCATTGAGGAATTATAGTTGCACATTTCCCAATTTGTGTGTAGAGATACTGTACAGATGTTTAAAAAACCCCAAAACTTTCTAAAAAAGCTTTCTTTGTTTCAGATGGAAACATAAAGAGGGGAGATGAACAGTTCTTGAGATTTCTAATCCACTTATGTGGCTGTAGGTTTGTTGTTTGTATTTAACTTTCTGTTGTGTTTTTTGTTGTTTTTTTTTTTTCCAAATGAAATAGCATAATTTTAAGTAGAGATGCTACTGGTAAGCTGAACTCATGTCTCTTTTTCAGAATGGAAGCTGTATGGTTCACAGTTGGGAGACCCCCAAATGGTTTGTGGTTGCTCAGCATTCCGGGCAACATGCAGAATAAATTTGATAATTTTATCTTAGTGGAAGAAATACTGGGCAGGGTTATCTCTGAACCTTACAGAGTGCACATGTGCAAGACCCTCGGGTCAGTAGTCCGCTGGCAGTCTGTCCGTCTTCTTGTCTATACTCCTGTTGCTGTGCTTGGCTGGCATTGTGCGATGGTACAGGGAGGACTAATGAAGGGAAATGCACAAAGGTTTTCCATTGCTTCCATGGCTGTACTTGAGAATTTGACAGATTTTGTACTTACCATTTCTGTATGGCGAACCAAATCTGCATGCTAGAATGCTTCATCTGGTGTGAGGTATTTATGGCTGACTAGTATGTATGAAGGATTTACAGCACTGTGCCTAGTTTTGGGAAACAGAAAAGTCAGTCAGGAAAGCTTCTTAATGGTTCAAGTATACTAGTCCTGTATTTAATTAACTGCATTCCAGTTCAGACCTGTAACCTCCTCAAGTCTATTTTGTGTCAGGGTCTTCAACTATTCAAAACAAAGCAGTTTTGTATCATATTATTTTCTAGTTTTCAAACTCAAAACTAAGCACACAGAAAAGAAAAAAAAAAATCACCTAATAGTTACTCTTAGTGGGTTTTTTTTATTTATTTTTGTAATTTTTTGTGGTAACTGTATTAAATAAATCCACATGAAGTGCCAATTGTGCTTCATTGTCCTAGCAGTAGTGAGAGCATATGACAAATCACAGCATGAAGGAGGTTGAGAAACTGTCAGTTGGCTGTATTTTCCTTAGATATGGCATTTTTTTCATAAATGTTCTTTTTAAATATCTGTACACAGACATTCAGCCTCATGCACAGCAGCTCTTTTCACCATGGGATTTACACATCATAAACTTCAGCAAACTTCTGACAGTTTGCCCACAGAGAAATTCTATGGCAAGGGGAATTGCTTTCTTTTTTCCCTAGCCTGATGACTTGTAATAGTACCTAGTCCTTAAAAAGTTGTCCTTTAATTATTAGCTAAAATTTATTAAACCTATTGCATAACCTCCAGCGTTTAAGTATTTTAACGGATGGAAACTTGGCAGTGTGTCCCATAATGAAGCCTTTTTCCAACCAGACCACTTTTCTTGCCATTATAAACCAATGTATTCATTGCCATCATGGGTACAATTTCTGAATAATGCTGTTTCTAAAATTGTATTGCCTAGAAAAGCTCCCTAGTTTGGAAGCTTCATGATCACAATGCTATTTTAAGTATACTTTGAAAATGTGTGGTAGAGTTGATGTTGAAATGCATTGGGCTCTCCATGGCTCTTTTGATTCTGGAACTGCCACAGATGTAGACTAAGCTCTTGGTTACCTTTGACAAAAATCTGCCTGTTCCTAAATTGTAATGGTCTAATATTCTTATTAGCTAATTCACAAACTATGAGTAGGAAAAGTTACTCAGAAACTTCTGCTTAATATAACTGTTTTGGTAAATGAGCATTAAATCCTTTGAAAGTAGAACCACTCACTTTATTTTCTTGGCTTGGTGTACAGTAGAAATACTTACTCCTGAAGTTTTTCATAAGAAACAGAATTAATTGTGTTCATTTTCATCACTGGCTAAGAGCCTAGTAGCCATACTCTACCTCAGGCTGGTCTACCCTGTGTAGTGTGTGTGGGAGTTGGACAAACATGTCCATTGAAGGATCATAAGAATGTGACTCCTATGGCTTCGTTTCTTCTCCTTGATGTATAATGTCAAGGAGAGGTTTAAAAAGCCCTGACAGGCAGAGGTAGGAAAAAGTGGTTTGGATAAAATAAGCTGGATTCAAATAAACTCTTGAGCTTTTAAAATGTTCCAGAGGGAAATCACTGTATTCAATGTTCTGTGGTTTTATCCATTGGCAGTGTTGGTAGTACTGAAATAACATGGAAGAGATTATCAAATGCATTTTTTACTTCCTGATTGTATATAAAAATCTGCTAAAGTTTGTGGCTTTTTTCTGGGAAGCAAAACCAGATTTTTTCAACAACTTTAATTACCCATTTTGTATGTATTTCATATTCGTTATTGTTGAGTATGTATTTTATGTGATTCCTGTTAGCAGTAAAGCATAATATCTAAAATATTACATATGTGTTAAAACATGTAGAGGTTTGTACATAGGAGACAATTCTAAGGCTGAGATTTTAATCTCTAACTTGTGATTATCTTGACTTTCTGCTATATGTTTTGCATTCATTTTTTGTTGATTATTGAAAAAATTAAGATGAGCTGGTGGCTGCAACATGAAAGAAAATCAATATATCAGATTAAAAAATACAGGATGTGTGCCTTGAGATAGCAAGAAGCAGCAGGGTTCATGGATGCCAGTAACAGTTCTGGGATCAAAAGCAATATAGTCACTTCAGTGAAGCCCTCCACTTGAGTTCATTAGCCCTGTAAGAAGGTAAAACTTGGCTCACCCAGTTCTTCTGTGCATAGCTGATGTTAGTGAAGCGTGCTAAGTTGCGTTTATGCAACTGGAAGCAGGAATTTGTCTGTTCTCAACACCCAGCCTTTGTAAACTTAGTAGGTGCATTTTCCTGCAAAATTGTTGTATTTTCTAAAGATGTTCTAAACAGAAAGGAAAGTTCTAGACCATATTTTTTTATGAATGGTTATTCATAAACTTTAATTGAGTGAGTACCTCGGAGATCAGAAATAAAGTTGGGTTCTTCCCATCATTGATGAGGAATTCTGAATTTTAAGGGATTATGGCCTTCCTTATTAAAATTGAAACGTGAAATGCATACCAGATCCTCCACACATGTAGAAATTTCATAGTCTAACATTTCCTTGTGCATGCCTCTGTGAGGAGGCCTTACATATATTCCAAGGACTGCAGCTCTGATTGAAAGCCTGTTTTTTCTTGCACCACCAAGAAAAGGAGTAAATGATTCTTCATGGTGTAGTTAGACCATCAAGTAGAAATGGATGAACTGGTAATTGCATGATATATGTTCAAGGGAAGTACTGCTGGTAGGTTCCTACCATTCTTGCTCTGAATGGAACGCATGGTAGCTGCCTCTCAAATTTCTAGCACTGTAATAGTGTAATTCTTCAAATTAGTATGAAGAGTTTGTGGAGCCATAAACATGCATTCAAAACAGCATAGAGAACTGTATTTGATCTTGAGCCATGAATGACATGTTATATTTCCCTCCAGAAAACTGTTATAAATTGAAATGTAAAATGAAAGAAGGTAATGTCATTGTTTGATGCTGTATTTGTAAAGCCAATTTAGTTTTGCAGAAGCAATACCATTAGTATTAGAAGTACTTCTGTTGTGTGGTACACCACCAGTCAAAGCCCTTATATAATGCCTTGTCCTTTTCTCTCCCTTTCCTTGTTACTTTATCTCTCCACAGTGCTGCATACCCAAGGTCCCATTGATGGCAGTCTATATGCGAAAGTGAGAAAGAAGAGCTCTTCAGACAGCAGCATCCCTGGTGTTGCTCAGGGTGTTCCTGTGACTGGCAGTCCTGATCACAGCGATCATACCCTGTCTGTCAGCAGTGATTCAGGACACTCAACAGCTTCCGTCAGGACAGACAAGACTGAGGAGCGCCTTGTGCCAGGAGTCAGACGCGGTCTGAGCCCACAAGAGAAGGCAGAACTGGACCAGCTACTGAGTGGCTTTGGTCTGGAGGATTCTGTCAACACCACCAAGGATATGACCGATGCCCGAAGCAAGTACAGTGGGACTCGCCACATAGTGCCAGCTCAAGTTCACGTGAATGGAGACACCAAACTGAAGGACAGGGAGACTGATATTCTGGATGACGACATGCCTAATCATGACCTTCACAGCGTGGACAGTATTGGGACTTTGTCTTCCTCAGAAGGGCAGCACTCCACCCACCTAGGGAACTTTAGTTGCCACAAGAGCAGTCAGAACTCACTTCTTTCGGATGGCTTCGGAAGTAACACTGGGGAAGAGCATCACAATGCTTTTGTCCCAGACCTGGGAATTGGTGTGGATCCTGTCTATGAGAGATCATTTGGAAGCACTGAGCCAAAGTCAACTCAGCAATTGCAACGGAATCCTTCTGTCTCACCCCAGCCTCAAGCCTATGGCCCAAGTAACTACTCTACTCAGACCTGGGTACGCCAACAGCAGATGGTCACTGCTCACCAATATGGTTTTGCCCCAGAGAATGAAATTAGGATTGGCATTCATAACACTGTGGAGAATTCAGGCAGTGTCCAGAGCCAGTCCCGAGTCCCGAACACCCCAACACGTGGCTGCAGCAGCAGAGATGCTGTGCAGAGGGGGCTAGGAGGTGTGCCAGGTGTTGCTGAAGCTGCAGAACATGCCAGTACCGAGAGTTTTAAGTCAAGGCTGGTGCCTCAGAGGAACACAAATGGCCTGGATCTAGGACAGAACACGGGGGAATTGCCAGCTTCTCCAACTTTGGATATTGATCAGTCCATTGAACAACTGAACAGGCTGATATTGGAGTTAGACCCTACATTTGAACCTATCCCGACCCGTGTTAACACTATCACCAGGAACAGAAGTCAAGTAAATGGCTTCGCCAGCCTTGATGTAGACATGGAAGGGCTTGTCAGGAGTCCTGGCTTCCATGACACATTAGAGGTCACAAACAAGAATCCCTCCCGCAATGGTAAGCTGTTGTAATACTTTCTGAATATAATGCTTTTCCTAGCACTTGTGTGTTCTTGATATAGTACAGCAGGACCTCAGGTCATGACTTAGAACTTTCAGGATGATTATCAAGGAATTATTTCTGATACCCTCTTTGCATAACCATCCAAGAAATTATGGAATCAAACTGATGTAAGGTAAGTGAGTTTTGCAGGTGCTTGTTTTTTGCTTGAAAAAAAGTACTGTTCAGCAAATTCTTAACTGTTACAGATAATCAGTTGGGATTTTTTGCTGCTGTAAATTTAAGTGATAAGGGAGCAGAATTCCTATAATTCCTACATTGAGACATTTTTAGAAGGCATCTGTAGTGAAATGGTTTATGATTTATGATTATATGCTTTTTATTATTATGATTTTTTTATGATTTCTACTTAAAGTAGGAGAAAAAGCTCCAACAATTTTGTCTTCGAGTTTAGTGTAATGCTGCTAGCATTAAATTTCTATGCAGTATTTTCATAAATCATGTACTCTCTGCCAGTAACGTATTTTAAAACATACTCTTTCTGAAACATTTTTCCGTTTAAAAATTCAGAAGTCACAGTGCTTGCCTTGTTATCTCTGGCTCTGATATGACTGCAGAAATCAACTGGTGGAATTAAATATGCAACAGTTGCTGACTACATTGCCTATGTAATGCTACTAGAACTAGTAGCTTTGCAAAAGGATGAGCAGTCTATCTCTGCTTAAGTCCACTGAAACCTTTCATTAATGCTGTAGCTAAAATTTGTGACAAGCAAGCTCTTGCTGGTCTTGCTGTCATGTTCGAAAATTCTGTGTGGTCTAATTCCTCTGGCAGAACATATCGCCTTCCCTTCCTTCCCTCCCTTCCCTCTTCTTCTTCTCACTTTTCCTACCTGCTTGTATCTGCAGGACCTGATTCAGTATCAGCCAACATGCCGGAACATGTGTCCATGGCCTTATTGGACACAAATGAGCTGCTTCAGCTCAATCCCAGTCGGATATGCCAAACCATTTGATGATAACCCGTGCCTAACTACTGTGTGGTTTCTATTAATATGAAGGCCTGTGTGATCAAGGATGGTGATTCTTGTAGGGAAGGTGAAATCACAATTTTGTGTTTAGGAGGGTAACTGAAAACTAAAGAAGTCCAGAAATCCATGATGAATATATGTGAGCTGCTTCACTGTTTGTTTTAATAAATGGTATGTGTTTTGTGGCTCTTACAGGATTAAATTCATTAGTTTGTAATTCTCTTGAATCTTCCAAATAATCAGCTGATGTACAAATTGAATATTAGATTGTTCCAGCAGGAGAGAACTTTTCTCTTTGGTACACAGTAAAGCTAGTGAAGGGATAAAAGAGTCATTTAGAATAAGCCACTGTTTACAATTCTGTGTTTAAAGATATGAATCTGAAAAGAGATGTTTGAGTTTTTCTCACAGATTCTGGTTGTCTCCCAAAGGAAGCAGGAGTCACTGTCAATTCCCTTCCATTTGTAAAATCAGGTAAAGCAGGTAGATTTCCTGCCCTAATAAAGACTGGTTAGAATACAAGTCCTTGGGGCATGTTCTGGAAGAGGATTTGTTTTAAAGATAGTGATGAATTTGGAATTAAATATTAATATAGAGACAGCATGTAGAATCCTGGGCGATTTTGAGGGGGCAACAGGGCATAGTATGAAAGAGGAAAGAGTTTAGGAGTCAGGAAGCTCCTTCACTTTTTCTCATGCCCTTGCCTTTGGGAAGGCATTTCTCTCTCCTTTATCAGTCTGAGCAAAGGCAAAGGAGGGTTAATGTTTTTTCCATTTGTTTTTTAAACCTGTCTCAGGAATATTGAACATCCTTACAGGATGTTTACATCATACAGAGCTTCAAACATAACCTTATTATGCATACTGATTCCTAACCCACTTCCAATTCAAGTCAACAGAAGATCTCTGATGGATTTAATTAGACATAGAGTGTATGTCTCTGAAAGCAGGGTGGTGAGAAGTTTGTATGCTGAAAGTGGTATGTAAGTGCTAATTGCTATCAACAGCAACTCTGTTTCTGATACTGAATTTTTTCCCTATACCCTCTCTCTCTGCTCCAAAGCAACACCCACATTCCTCCTACCACAGAGTGGTTGAGGTTGGAAAGGACCTCTGAAGATCATCGGGTCCAGCCCCCCTGCTCAGGCAGGGCCACCTAGAGCCAGTTGCCCAGGTCTATGTCTAGATGGCTTTTGACTATCACCTATCTACAACCACCTCTCTGAGCAGCCTGTGCCAGTGCTCAGTCACCCTCATAGCAAAAAAGTTGTTTCCTGATGTTCAGAGGGAACCTCCTGTGTTTCAGTTGATGCCCATTGCTTCTGGTCCTGTCACCGGGCACCATGGAAGAGAGCCTGGCTCCCTCTTCTTTGCACCCTCCCTTCAGGTATTTATTTACATTGATGAGATCCCCAACACACTTCCATTTAATCACGAACTTACAGGAGGAGTGCCGTCCAGTATTTTGTGGACAGTTCTGTGCTCTACCAAATCATGAATACTCCTGCATGATGTTTTATTTCAGCATGCTAGGCATACCTTGTCTGGCAAAAAGGCTAATTATTTAAGGAACAGTCAGAGAGTGAATCAACTGGTATTTGGATCTTTAAGTCTTTTCTTACATTTTTGCTTGGAGGAAGTACTTAACTTCGTGCACACTTCTACTGTCCTGAAGTCAGATTCTGTTGAAGTTCTCACAAAGCCTTTCATTGACATTAGAGACTGAAGGAGAAAGGTGGCAAGTAAAGGGTTACCCTTGCATTTTTAGGGCCCAAAATAAATGAATGAACTGTAGATAGAGTTTAAGTACTGCAGAGAGCCTAAAATGTGTGGAATCCAGGATATAGGATGCAAGACTGGAGGCTTGTGTTGGCTTCTAGTCTTGGCTTACGTCGTTGAGATTTATTGGTCTCATTCTAGTCATATTTATAGTGACTTATTTATGTTAGGAAATGTCCTTTAAAAGTTTAACCCTTAAAGTGCTTTCTCTTAATTTTTCTCTTCTATTTTTCAGGGCCTTATGCTGCCAGTGTTTTTTAGGTTGGTTAGCATCTTCTAGCTTTAGCAGTCTCTTTGAAACAGGGTGCTAGTATAAAACTGTGTTGGATATTAGCTGAAATCTGTTTGTGGTGCTCCTTGTTGAGGGGTTATAGTTCATTTCATCAAAGGCAGCAAAACTGAATGGGTGCTTTTCCTTTCCTCCAGCTCCAAATTTAGATGGGGTGTGGGGAGGCATTAATTAGTTTACATTTCTGGGGTCGTAAGCTAAAGCACCATCATTTTCAACAACTGCTACTTCAGAGGATGGCATCTTCTGGTAGAAGAGGCAGAGAGTAGGAATAGTAAGGATTTAGATATTTTAACTTAGTCTGGGCCTTTAGGCAGCTGAGAACATTTGAGTGCCCTAAAGACCTCTGCTGGTGGTTAATGTAGGTAGTGTCTTGAGGAGTTTCCCTTCTGTAAAGATCACGTGCCTTGCTCTTGAGTGATAAGCAGCAATTTTAGATGTGTGCTGAGTCCCTTGCCTGCCCTTTGAACCCTTTGAGTATATTCATTGTGATTATCAGGGCAATTTTATGTTGTGTCTAATGCAATGGAAATGCAGCAGACTGTTCCCAAGAGAGGTGGCCTTATGCTGCTTCCATGATCCTTGGATATGCACTACCCTATTCATCTCTGCATCGGATCTGGTAACTCTGCAGTAGTGAGGTTTGTTGGATTAGCTTGTTAATTTAATGGTCTGAAGGTTTTCTTATGGGTTAGTTCTCTGTCAGATCAAAGAGTTAAACTTGCAGTGTGGACAGGTAATCGCTAAATGCCACGTGCAAGAAGAGTGGTGAGGGCATGTGGATGGCAGTGGGGGGCAAGCAGAACGGCCATTTTAGCAGCCTTTAAACCAGACAGAACAGGTTTATCCTGAAACCGCATACCTATATCTTTGTGCTAGGACCTGACCTGTAGGAACTTCACTGTGAGGAACAGTTATTCCACTGTGTTACGAAACACCATTAGGAAATTATGATTTATACTGGGACAGAGCTATGAGAAAGGTAAATTGAGCTCCAGGATGTGAGGATTCACCTGTCGTTTTCTGCATGTGCTTCAGCATGCGATACTGGAGTAAGTAACATAAGAATAGCATTTTATTAAACAGTTTTTTTAAAGAAATATTCCTTCATATAGCTTTAGCACAATAATAATATTTTTTTTAAGTTTGCCTTTATGTCAAGTGCTAAAATGTTTTATTTCTGACTTTTGCAAGTATCATTGTTTATACTAGTAAAGAGCTTGATTTTAAAACTACCCATGGTTTCAAAGGTAAAACAATACATATGTGTAGCATGCTGCCACCTCTGCTTGAGACTAGGAGGTCACCAGCACATACTGATTTTCCAAATGCTGTAGGATTTATTTATTTATATATCTGGACTTGTCCTGCTTCTGTATACAGAATTATTTGTGCATAGTGTGCACAAAACAACAAGGCGAAAAAGCAGTTTGGCTGAATGAATGTTAAGAATGAGGAAGACCTGGAATGTTTTTCCTTTGATACATCATCTGATGGAAAGGGAGCATTCTAGCTGCAAGGACAAATTGTGAATTGGGATGGTCAGATGGAAGCAACAGGAGTATAATTTCATGTCTCATCTGAATCCAGATGATGGTCATAGTTCTGAGCATAAACCACAAATGTTCTGATATGTTTTTTCAAACTCTGCATAGCACTTCAAAGGAGTAAATCCAGAAGCGTAATCCAAACATCACGATATTCTGCTAGGCAGATAACTGAATAGTGGAAAAGTAACCTACTGTTCACAGAAGCCCCTACCACCTCCCAAGCCTCAGCTGTGTGAGAAAATAGGTAGATAAATTGAAACAGCAAAATTAGTCTATTTTGACTGTGGGTGGGAAAAGGAGCAGCAAGCTTAAAGTTTGAGAAACAAGGAAATACTCTTTATTAGCTCCCT